CCCCCACCGCCCCGGAGCCGCGGACTACGAGTCCCGGCGACCGGCGCACCGTCGGCGTGGCGGTGGTTCGAGGGTCCGCCGGCGCGCGGCATGTCGGAACTGGTAGTCCACGTCCGCCCGCCTCGGGGGGACCCAGAAAGGAGGGGGACCGCTTGGGATTGCTTTGTTCCTGCGCCCCTCTTTCCTTACATTTTGGGGACCAAGTTCGTCTCGAGAGTGGGCTGGGAGAGGGATCCCGGGAGGGTCCGCTTCCGGGGACCCCAGCCCGCAGAGGTCAGTGTGTCGCTGGTTGTGGGGCGGCCGGAGGCGGCAGCAGCGTCGATTTGGGTTAGAGGCTGGGTGAGCCCACCGCTGCCTGATGGGGAGACCGGTTTTTCCACCACGCCCATTCCTGCAGGCCAGCCAAACTCTGAACCGTCTACTAATTGGTCTTTATCCTAGAAAGGAGCCCTGGGCGACAGGGCGTTACTTTAGGTGTTCTGAACCCGTCCAAGTCAGTACCAGCCCTGAGGCTCAGCACGGGTTGGTGTGGTTGGAAAAAGCCGTGGAGTATGAGATCAAACTTCAACCTCTGGCCCGGCTGCCAACTTACACTGAGTCCATGGCCAAGTCACTTCCTCTCTCCGAGTCTCGGTTGCCCCCACTAGAACAGTTGAGGCTGTGCACACAGATTTAAACTCAGTATGAAATGCCTCCCAAGTCTAAAATGGTGTTACTTTTTTTTTCCCCCAAAAACGTGGTAAGGTTAATGCTTCAATTCCGTTAACAATTTTCGAACAGATACGTGGTTAGCTGCAGTGTGGGTGAAAGGCTTATTGGAGAATCTGGGGAATGTTTGGGAGAGAAGGAAAACAGAAGATATCTAGAAACAGAAGAGGAGACCAGTAGTGCTGTAAAACACCAAATAATCCTTGTGAAACTCGGTGACCAGCAAAAGTTTTGACCCAGAACTTCTAAAATAGTTTCCTCCTCTTTTCCAGGATATGGCTTTTATTAGCTTTGGGATTTTACTCCTCTCCCAGGTTCATACAACCCACTCCTGTCCTATATTTTATTCTCTAAAGAGCATCTAGGAAAAGTCGGATGGTAACATCTTCATTATGTGTTTTACAGCTGTATTTATAATTGCTGATCATTTGTAAGACTATAAGTGGAGCTAATTCAACCAAAAGATACATATTTTTCTCATTTTTGTTCGTTCTTTTCGCTTTTTAAAAAACGACAATTGGATGGTTTCAGGTTTTTGTTGTATATATGAAACCTCTTACATGTAAATAGCATAGTAGGGGAAGGAGAAAAGACTTTATTTTTGTTTGTTTTTTGTTTTTATTTTCATTGAAGTATAGTTGATTTACAATGTTGTATCAGTTTCAGGTGTACAGCAAAGTGAATAAGTTATACATATACATATATCCACTCTATTTTAGATTCTTTTCCCATATAGGCCATCACAGAATATTGAGTAAAGTTCCCTGTACTATACAGCAGGTCCCTATTAGTTATCTGTTCTATACACAGTAGTGTGTAAATGTCAATCCCAATATCCCAATTTATCCCTCCCCCTCCCTTCCCCCCCCGCCCCCCGTAACCATAAGCTTGTTTTCTACATCTGTGACTCTATTTCTGTTTTACAGATAAGTCCATTTGTATCATTTTATAGATTCGCATGTAAGAGATACATGATACTTGTCTTTCTCTGTCTGACTTTCTTTACTCATTATGACAATCTCACGGTCCATCCATGTTGCTACAAATGGCATTATTTCGTTCTTTGTTATGGCTGAGTAATATTCCACTGTATGTATAAACCACATCTTCTTTATCCATTCCTCTGTCAAGGACGTTTAGGTTGCTCCCATGTCCTGGCTATTGCAAATAGCACTGCAGTGAACATTGGGGTGCATGTATCTTTTGAATCATGGTTATCTCTAGATACATGCCCAGGAGTGGGATTGCTAGATCACATGGTAGCTCTGTTTTTAGTTTTTTAAGGAACCTTCATACTGTTCTCCATAGTTGCTGTACCAATTTACATTCCCACCAACAGTGTGGGAGGGTTCCCTTTTCTCCATACCTTCTCCAGCCTTTATTGTTTGTGGATTTTTTTTGTGTGGTACACGGGCCTCTCACTGTTGTGGCCTTTCCCGTTGCAGAGCACAGGCTCTGGATGCTCAGGCTCAGCGGCCATGGCTCATGGGCCCAGCTGCTCCGCGGCATGTGGGATCTTCCTGGACTGGGGCACGAACCCGTGGCAGGCGGACTCTCAACCACTGTGCCACCAGGGAAGCCCTGTTTGTGGATTTTTTGATGATGGCCATTCTGATGTGTGTGAGGTGATACCTCACTGTAGTTTTATTTTGCATTTTTCTAATAATTAGCAATGATGTAATGATGCTTTTTAGCCATCTGTATGTCTTCTTCGGAGAAATGTCTATTTAGATCATCCGCCCATTTTTTGATTGGGTTGTTTGTTTTTTTAATATTGAGCTGCAGGAGCTGTTTGTATATTTTCGAGATGAATCTGTTGTCGGTCGCTAATATTTTCTCCCATTCTGAGGGGGAAAAGACTTTACTAGAGTCAAACAGATATGGGTTCAAACCCTAACTGTTCCATTTACTATCTCTTTAGTCCCAGAGAAGTTGTTGTTTTACCTTGGGTTCCTCTGTAAGAAGGAAGAAATAACACCTGTCTGGTATGGTATTTATGATTATGAAATGAGGTAAAATATCTGGCATGCATAGATGCAAATAATTTTTTCCTCTGTTTTAGAGTTCCTGTTCTTAATTTATGAGATTGGTTGTTTTTACTTTGAAGTGCACTGTAGTTTTACTTTTTAAAAATTGGTTTATGGGGCTTCCCTGGTGGCACAGTGGTTGGGGGTCCGCCTGCCTATGCAGGGGACACGGGTTCGTGCCCCGGTCCGGGAGGATCCCACGTGCCGCAGAGCGGCTGGGCCCGTGAGCCGTGGCTGCTGGGCCTGCGGGTCCGGAGCCTGTGCTCCGCAACGGGAGAGGCCGCAACAGGGAGAGGCCCGCGTACCGCAAAAAAAAAAAAAAATTGGTTTATGACTGATGTATTGGAATGTATTTAAATATTTTGTTTTTGAATCATAATGTGACTTTAAGTGTTCATACCCAAATTGATAATACCCATATTACTCCACTGGGTTAAAAATAATCTCCACATTCTGTAATTAGTATTTATTCTTTACTCTGTTTGATAATGGTGGATAATATTTTAAACCTGTTAATTAAGAATTATAAGATTTCCATGATGAGATATGTTCTATAATGTATTATCTTATTCTTTAAGATTTCAACACTTATATGAGCTTAAATTCAACTGTTTTCTTACAATTCCAAATAGCTTATAATTCAGCAGTTGCTGTCTTCTAGTGGATTAAACAGTGGAATGTCTGTGGTCAGTTAAGTCAGGATTTTTTGTTTTCTTTCTTTTGTGAGTCTTTTGCATTTTTACTCAATGTTTTATTATACAGGCAAATGTAAGCTGAATCCCAAACGATTGTAATTTTTGGAGCTAATTTTTTTCTGTAGGGGAAAAGTTATATAAATCAAGGTTAAATTCCCCAACTATCATGCCATTACTAATTTAGCTAACAGGGTACCTGAAATGTGGCTGAAACAGAATTGTTTCTTTGGGAAGATTACATTAATTTCCAACTCAGGCCACCAGAAGTACATCTTTGGACCCTTGCTACAGAACCTGAGAATATCTGGCCCTCTAATATCCTGGGACATTGCAGTTATGGTTGAGGGTGTTACCAGAGGGAAGCTGTTGCTTGTTTTATTTTGTTTTTTTCTAGTTGTGAATTCTACCTGTGCTACTTGCTCTCCCAGACCTTGAGGAAGAAAAGGCAAATCTGATGCAGCATCTTCTGAAAGTGTTTTGAACTGGAAAGGAAAGGTTTGAGGGAGGCTTTGAGATTGAATTTTGCCCATTTAGTTGAACTGATCTTTTTCAGTTTTGTTTTATTTTCTAACTAATTTTTAAGTCTGTCTTCTCACACTCAAAGTTGTTTTTGAAAATTAGCCATTTTCTAAAGCAGTGCAATCAGGAGTCAAGTGCTCAGAGTGGAGTTATTATTGTGGAATAACTTGTGACTAAAAAATCATGATGGAAGATACTGTGTCATTTTTGAATTTTTTAAATTAAGCTTTATTTGTATTGTTTTGGCCCAAGAAAAATTATGGTGCCATAACCTAAACTTGTCTGAAAATAACAACCACGGTTTTGCATGTGTTAGCTGGGATATTTAAACCTACTCTCTTTTAAAGATGGTGAACATTCTGCTTAAATGAACAATTATGCTAAAGTTTATATCCATGCCAAATTGCTTTCGGTAGCACCCCAGAAGCATTTTTATCATCTTGTGTTTTAACTTCCTCCAGGACCTGTATGGGTAACTTAGACATTGTATCCTACCTGCTATGCTTAGAAAGTTTTGGGTGATACTGACTTTAAGTATGTAGAAATCAGAAATTTGATTTTATTTATCTTTTTGTCTCTAGTGTTGAACATTGTGCCTGACATATAGGTGCTTAATAAGTATTCTTTGAATGAATATATAGCACACCAGTTTGTCCTGAAGATGTAAAAAAATTTAAAATTCGGTCTCCAGGGGGCGCCCAAGGAGCAGTTAGTACTCCCAATTTCAGGACGAGAAGTATTTGAATGAAACCTCTGTCTTACTCTGATTTCTCATGTAACACTTCAGTTTACTCTCAGTGAATAAATGGTATAGTTGTAAAAATCTGATGAGCATTCTAAAACTTTTAAGCTCCTGATTACAAATCCCTAAAGCAGACTACCACTCATTAAAGAAACGAGATAGGAAGATCCACTGGACATTAAGCTTGCTTCAGAACAGGCCTTTC